TCTATTAGAAGCAAACCAACCAATAGGTCGCTATTACATGGCTGCCAAAGCATATTCCAGTTCTCCTAATGTCCTTTTTAGCCCTTCAAACACCACTGCCATCCTTCAATACAAACGAAGCAGACACAACATGCCAACTTCAACAGTCCCTTCCATGCCTTTGCTTCCAGACTCAAACGACACCATCGCAACCACCGAGCAACTGAGCCAATTCAAAAGCTTAGCAGACAAGAACCACCCCATTGATGTGCCATTAGAAATAAGCACCAAGCTTTTCTACACAGTGTCTGTGAACACCTTACCGTGTAAGAATGGTTCAGCATGTGCTGGTCCAATTAATGGCGATCGTCTTGCTGCCAGTATGAACAATATCAGCTTCCAATTGCCTCCTGGGGCTAACATCTTGCAGGCTTACCATAACAACGTTGGTGGTGTCTATGGGGACAAGTTCCCAGATTTTCCGCCATTGAACTTTGATTTTACAGGAAACGATTTGCCTCAGTTCTTGTTGACTCCATCAGTGGGCACAGAGGTGAAGGTGCTTGAGTACGGATCCACGGTGGAGCTTGTTCTTCAGGGAACTAATGTGCTTACTGGAACAGAACATCCTATTCACTTGCATGGATATAGTTTCTATGTCGTAGGCTGGGGATTCGGAAACTTTGACGAGCAAAGGGATCCTTTGAATTACAACCTTGTTGATCCTCCCTATCAAAACACTGTGACCATACCCAAAAATGGTTGGGTCGCCATAAGATTCACTGCTGACAATCCAGGTATATATTTTACATTTACTCCCGCCCACGAGCAACATAACATTTCAAATCTTAAAGATTAATATATGTTATACATATTTGGCTTGGATATATGTAGGCGTTTGGTTCATGCATTGTCATTTGGAGCGTCACGTGACATGGGGAATGGCTATGACTTTCATTGTGAAGAATGGTAACAATCCTGACCAACAGATGCTACCACCACCTACCGACATGCCCAAGTGTTGATTTTAATTTTAGTGGACAAAGTCCAAGGAAGAAATTTGTCTAACATATTAATTCTTGTATTTTCCTTTTATTCGTTATTCATTTATTAATTTAATTTGTTCCTTGAGATTAAGGGTAGTTTGACGGCAGAAATGTATCAATATGAAATTTGTTAGAGTTTTATTGTTCTCTTTGCAAGTTGCTTTGAAATAAAGTCATTGTTCGATATTGTTATGTTGAATTTGTCAATGGAATGAAGGTCAATAAATTAATGTTTTCTTTTTAACCATTCTGCAAATTTTCCTCTGTCAGTTATTCTGTTTAAACAACTGCTAGTCGTTTTTTAGTTGATGGATTTCAGAATTGTTTCAAGAAAGAAAAACTAACAGTTGATGAGATAGAGACTATATTTAGCTCGTAATTCACCCAAAAAACTAACGCTGTAACACAGGAAAAAAAGTAAAAGTTAATTCAAACTTCAAAAAAAATATTAATTTTCCCACCATTACTCTCATGGGGTTGCTCCATTATCACCTTCATGGACAAATATGTATGCCTTTGGAGGAGTAACACAATTTACTCCTATAGGTGCCTTTAAATTTTTTTTTTAATAAGTTCGATTTAAAATATTGAAGAAACGATATTAACATTTTTAATTAATTTTTCTTAACCCTTTATCTCATACATTTTCTTTATTAAAATTTTATAACCTTAATAGTTTTTATTTTTTTCAAATTAAACTTATTAAAAATTTTCCTCCCCTCCATTTTCCTCATACCAAACATACTATCAGGATTATTGAAGTAGTAGAGTAGCTTTAGAATTTCGGAGAGATGCCCATTAATTTTTCAATTCAAAATAAAACTAAATCATTTATTTTAACCATTCTTTAATTTTTGGTTAATAAATCAGTACTGCCGCAATAAGTAGCCGCATTGTCCTTCGATCTAATCTCATGGCCTTCGTACGAACATAATCTTAAATAGCTATAATCAATTAACAAATGAAGAATTTTTCATTTGGTCTAACATGTGATGAATTTATTGAAAGGATGTAAAGTCCAAAGTTGGACATGCAGAATAAATTGTATGATGAGTGTTAAATATCGCTGGTGATTTATCTGCAAACCACACCAACATTATTTCAAAAGTATTATACTACCTCTGCTCCTTAATATAAAATTTAGTTTGCATTTCAAATTGAATTACAAACTATTTAAGAAATGTATGGGTTTGTGTTACAATGCAAGTAAAAAATATATCAAAATGAATGTACAATTAAAAAGTATACTTATCAGTATATGTACTTTCGGTATATCCTTGATTTGATTGGCAAACATCCTATTCCTGATTCATACTTGCTCCATTGTTATCCCCAGCTCTCCAAAAACTTCTCCAAGTGTATATATCTCTATTAGTCATCTTTTCTCCCACACATTGTCATCTGTTCTTCTAGTCAGAGATCTTCTGATTAGGGAACCTCAAAGTGTAGTCTCCATTATAAGATTCCAGCTCCATCACTGCTTTGTAAAGGTGAATCGCTCACTAGAAGAACTCTTTTGCTGTAAAAAAGTAAATTCAATTCAGAGATTTCATAGTTTCACTGCTGTACAAAACTTCCAGCTAACCTGTTTCTTGTAAATTAGCTTAACTCCTCGAAAACTCTTAAAATATTTATTTCAGAAAATGTATAAATTGGGTACCAATTATGTTGAGGTGATTACTGAAATGGGATAGCAGCTTGACAAAATTCCTCTAGACATCTACGAATTAAGCTTTCCATTCAAAATATTTACGATAAATCAACAGTTTTTACCATTATTTGGAATCAATCACTGTTACAATAATGACTACTTTCATTTGATGTCATGGCCAATGAAATAATCATATTCAATTTACAAATGAACTAACCGAAAGAGAACCAAAGCTGAAGAAAAGAAATAGTTACAGTATTCAGATGTAAAAACAAAAAAAATCCACTTGTTGGTGCTTTCATTAGAGAACCAAACAGGGGCAAATGCCTAAGTTTCTTGCTAAAGCATATATCAGTCTAAACACTCATTAATTTATTAATATACCTTTGGTATATCGTTGATCTGATAGGCAAAAATCAACATGCTATAAGACTCGATGATACTTCTATCCCCTTCATCTTCACATTGCCATAAGCTTTCTCTGACATGATGATTAACTACACAAAAGAAAGCAAATGCCAACACAATAAATTGATTTTTGTTAAACAAAACCAAATATACTACAATAGAAAACACAAAACAAATACAAAGATTTAGATCCAAAATAAACAAAAACTATGCCTAACTATAAAAAACACACAAAAAATGGACGCCAAAATCCAAATAGGGCACCCAAAAAAAATTAAGAAAAATGTCGAAATGACACCGCCACAATATGAACAAGAAAGCTTCAAGATCCGAACCATCATCACCATAAAGACTTAACCACTACCTTCCAGTTCGCTGACCACAAAGCATTTCATCCCAAATCTAGATAAAATTGAAATAGTTGATGATTTTGATTCAAAAGTACCTTCGTGATAATTCTAGATCTGAACGATTCACCATTAATTAGTCTATAAGATGATGGATCCTCCACCAACGTCACCATCCGCACACGCAAAAAACCCTCAACAAAGCCACAAGGCACAAACAAAAGCAATGGAAAAATTGATCTCATGAAAGGAGAGAGAGAAAAGGAGACTCGATTGCAACATATATAGACAATTGATTCAGTACTCTCGTCTCTTTAAAACATCTCGTGAATGACACGTAAATAAAACCCTACAGCAATTGTGAGTGTGCGCAACGTGTGATAGAGAGAGAGATCCGAGAGAGTAGTTTTTAAGGTTAAGAGAGAAGGAAGAGATGAGGCGGCTAGGGTTAGAGAGGATTGAAGGAGGTTTAAACCAAATGATAAGAGTAGTGGGTAAATAGTTATGGTAGATCTTAGCCATCAAGTTCAAAATAAACACTATAGGTTAAACGATAAGACAAAAGATTGCATTATAAAAAAAAAAAGACTAAAAAGAACAGTTCTCTTGATTTTTCTATAGATTTTTTCGCCGATTGAGGATAATTGTTAATTAGGGAAGAGTACCTAATTAAAATTTTTATTTATACAATGTATCTATGTAACACCCCGAATTTTATGATTTAAGATGAGTAGAAAAGAGAAAAATTTATTAAAATTATTTATTTGCCAAATAAAGGGGGAAAATTATGGAATAATGATTTTTAGGGTTTAGAGACATTTTGGAAAAGGTATTTCCCAAAAATGGCTGAAATAATTTTAATAGATAATTTTAAGAGAAAAATGGTTTATTTTCTCTGAAAATTATGGAAAAATACTTAGAGATTTATGTTTAATCTGAAAATTTTAGGATGATCATTTGAGATGGTAAAGAAGTTATTTGAGGCATAAAATCCTTAAAATGGGTTAAGGATTAATTTCTGAAATTAAGAGCTATTTTCTTGGAAAATTTCAGAAAAATAGTCAGGAATGGACTTTTGACCTGAAATTCTTAGAAAAATTATTTTATGGGTCAAAGAAGCTAATGGATAAGAAAAATCCATTTATGATATTTTGGTTTAATTTCTGGATATATCTTATACTTCAGAAAAATAGGAGAAGGAATAAGATTGGAGGAATAATTATTTAGGAGGGCAAAATGACTCAGCAACAATGTAATACACGTGCTGCCTTCTCCATTAGCCACCTGATTCACTTCTTCATTACATAACTGATCACCGTGGCATCTTTTATTTCATCCTGTTCTGCAACGTAGAGGGAGAGAATGAGAGAAATAGAGACAGACCGAGAGAGAGAGAACGGAGAAGTAGTAGTGCCGGAGGTGGTGATCTGAGGAGTTACACTTGCATGCAAACCGGTTAAACTGTCAAGGTGAGCTTCCTAATCATTCTTCCACTCTTATTTTCTGGGTTTACTCCGTGGTTATGGCGTGTTTGAGGAGAGAGAGACAGAAGGGTAGTGAGAGAAAGTGATGGAAAGGATAGGAGGTTCGGTGAGTTTATATGCTATGGCAAGACCGAAGTGTATGAAGTTAGTTTTTAAGCTTGCATGTCTTCCTTCTTGCTGTTGTCGTTGGATCCTGAAGTTGCATGCGTTGCTTTGCTCTGTTTTGTTCGCCGAAAACAGGGGTGAGGATTTAAGGAAATCCATATATGTGGGGAGATGCTACCGTATGTGGTTTGGTTCTGTTATATAATGATTTTCTTCTTTTGAAACTAAAGCTTGTTGATGGCCTCGGGTCCTTTGAATTCTGGAGAATGAAGTGTACATATGGGTACATATATATATGGGTTTAAGTAAGGCTCACTCATCTATCCTAGTTAACCGTATTGCTGGAAGAATGTTAGTGGTATATGGTTGATTGTTAGTGTTGAATCTTTGCTGCTATAATGTTGTCGGGTTTAGGGGTAAACGACAGATTGATAATATGTACATATATATGCTGTATAAATCTGGAAATTTTAGTCAAGGATGCTGCCGTTCGAAACTCTTAACTGGAAGGAAGAAGTATGATGTTGGGATTTGAACTCTTTGGTTGAGTTTCGAAGCAGGGATTACATGTGTTTGTGTGTGTGTATTCATATTTGTGTGTGAGGTTAATGTAGCTAGAAGGAGCAAGACCATATACACACTCACATCCTGCTGCTATTGTCCGAATTGGAAGCTTAAGAATTGATTTAAGATTGAAGTATTAAGTGTTCTGAAGTGATTAAGTATTGTCAAAGGTTAGTCTTGGGTATGTGTCTGAAATCTTGAAAAATTTCCAGATTTGAAGTAAAAACATTTCACTATTGACTTCGACATTAGTATAGATGTAAAATGATTTTAGAGTTACTGGGGAAGGGTCCTTGTGCAAATGAGAGTGTGGTTTAATGTAAAAGTTGCTGTGTTAGAGGGATATTGGATTTAAGTCAATTGAGATTCTTAGAAGTTATTAAAGAGTGATTATTTAATTGGAATATAATGCCAATGAACGTTTAAAGTGTTTGGCCGAGGAATATAAAAGTAAAGAATCAAGAGTGAAATTATAAACTAAGGAAGAAGTTAGAGAACTATCAAATGAAGATAGAGATGATTAATAGAGACTTAGCTAATGCTTGATAGCTAGAAGATTAAAGATTGGTTTTAGATATCCTAATGTTCTTAAGGTTTGCAAATGGTGAAGAGGAATTATAATTGACTAAAGAAAGTTTATAGAATCAAGTTATTGTTGTTGAAAGGATTAAGAGGATTTGTGAGCTCTCTTAAATATGTATACACGTGTGCTGTCAAGTTAAATAAAGTTAAGCTAGGAATTTGCTTAAGGAAAATCAAGACGTACGTTGCATATATACGTACATATATTTTGGGTATGTGTCTTGGCTAAGAATTGAGAAAAAATTGAACAAGCTTAACCTTGAATGTAAGAAGTAAGGATTGAATATATATGCATGTGGAAGGTTGAGTATTAATGGAATTGAAAGTCTGGAAGTTTTTATATGGAAGTAAATCTGAAAGCTATTTTGAAACTTCACTTACAAGAAGGATAGGTTGAATTAATGTGAAAGATTAAAAGTATGTTTGAGGATTCGAAGTTGATAGATTAATAGTGATGGGGTTGGAAAAGATGAGCTTCGAATTTACTATACTTTGGGTCTTGTCCGATTTTGGGTGCTAAGCTTGTATATATAGAGTGAGATAATGGCTTAGAAAGTTATTGATTAAGTTTCAAGTGTTGTCCTTCAATCTGGAAAATTAATCTAGATTTAATTGAAAGGTTGTACGGAGTTAAAGAGATTATTAATGGTCAAGTAGTTATGAATGATGAATGAGTATTTTTCCAAACTAAAATAAGTTATGAGTTAATGTAATATATAAAAATAATATTGCTTAATCGAGATGGCTAGTTACTAAGTAAAGTAATACTATGGCTTGAGATAAGGAAGGAAGCGTTGCAAAGAGAATAGTTTAAATAAGAAAAATTGTCCAGGATGACCAACTATTAAGTGAGGGTAGAGATTGAAAGAGATTGGGATTTAAAGAGAGTTATTTAATTTATAAATTATGTTGGATCAAGCATTAACCTACCCTTACTAAAATAATAGGTTTTGATATCTGCAAAAGCCCACCGAAGAAGCTAAGAGAAAGGAAACAAGTAAGGTTTGATTTTGAAGCAGAAGGTTCAGGTAGTAGTTCTTTCCTCCCTTACACTTGTGTATGATTGCTGCATGTCTGTTTGTGCCATATTGCTATTCAAAAAGCATGAGAACATGTAATCCTTAATTCCTTGCATGGATTTTTAGCCGTGATCATGTGCAGCTGATAGACATGGGGCAGTGATTGCCTATTATTTGTGCATTATTTATTCAGCTTGTCTAACAGACATGGGGCAGTGATTGCCAATTATATGCGCGGCAGTGATTGCCTATTATTTGCGCATTATTTATTCAGCTTGTCTATCTGTCATAGCGCATAAATGCTTAATTGCATTAGCTTGCAAGGTTTTGTTCCATATGGCTTGTTTTGCATGTTTTATGTGATCTGCACATTTGTTTGATGGAAATTACTACTACGGGGATTCTTCGGAATCTCACCCCCCAATTTATGATGAACAGTGAAGGCTAGTAGCTAGAAGGACAAGGAGGTTATTTAAGAAGAAGATGGGCTGATTGAAGAGCAGAGATACCTGTTATAATTCTGTAAATTGTATAGTAAAATATTCGGGCAAGTAACTTTACTTGCTTTATGGAAATATCATTTTGTATCCTTTAGAAGAAGGAGGTGAGCATTGCCAGGTGTACGTATATGCTGTCAACCAAGAGCGTTGCTTTATTTTTAATATAATATTATAAGATTGTATAGTATGAAATTATTTTAGGTGATAATAGATTGAGTTGAAAGCAGGGTTGATATTGGATCACTAATCTGTTATCTGAAGGTTTGAAACACTTGATCAACGGATTCCAATGTTAAAGGAAAAAAAAAATTCCCTGTCTTTTCCCAGGATGGAAACCTGGTGTTAGTGATTCACAGGCGTTAAAAATGATCCTATTAGTATTTAAAAGTGAGGTGTTACAATCTAAATTTGTACTATGTATCTAATTTTCCTTTCCTTATGTTGAGTGTTAATGAACGCCAATAATGTATAAGGAATTGAGTAATTATGTTATGACACATAGTCAAGAAATCCTTTTAATTTGACAAATTTTCAAATAAACCTAGATCTTTAGATTTCTAATATTTGCGTTCATTTTCACTCTCTGATGCATTTCCTGGGCTTTTTCTTTAAGATACAAATAATCAAATTATGTAAGTAAAAATGCTAGTTAAAATTGGTTAAAGATGAAAAAAAATACATAAAAATACAATTTATTTTTCAAAATATTTATGAAGAGGTTGAGTGAGAGAGAATGAGTAGAAAAAGTGATGAGCAAGAATGACTAAGAAAAAGAGACAAAGAGAAAGACATATTATTAACTGGGGCAAAAATTAAAAAAAAATCAAATATTCAAACATTTCTAAAGTGTAGCTTATAAAAAGGACCTAATCAATTATTTAAAAAATTTGTAACATATAAAAAACGCCAACTATATGAACAATGAATATCTTTTCTTATTTCTTATTATTTTGTCTCGTTGTATTCTTTTACTTATTCATCTCAACAAGTCAATGTACATACTTAAGGGGAAAAAATATTCACTGTACATTGAAACAATGAAATTCTAAATAAAAATTATTCGTACGAAACCATTTCATTATGAATAAAAAACAAATTATAGATGAAATTTTATTACTAATCAGTTTTGTTAAGAAAAAAATTCATCAGTGGTTAGTGACGGCATGTTCTGATACATGCTACACACATCAAAGTCTTTGATTTCGATTGACCCTTAACCACGCATTTAGCCTTTATCAGTGTGTCTAAAATTTCAATAAAAATTATTCTATCTTACGTACTTGCTATAAGCTATGGTGCGATATTTAAGAGCTCATATATTACAAATTTTACCATAAAACTAATGTAAAAAATTATGACAATAAAATGACTTGGGGGGGGGGGGTAATGCTGCTGGAATTTTGACTTCATGGAATGACATTTGAGTACAATTTACTTTGTGTTAATATTATCTGCCCAAATTTGATTAGCACCACTTTGTTTTCAGTATTCAAATTTGGGTGCCAATCAGCCTAATTGTCCTATTGGGTTGGCTAAGTCTTAACTCATCCATATTTAAAAGGTTCAATTCGTGTTTAAATTAATGGAATTAATTGCCATTAACAAGCTCCTAGTTTATTTTGACATTAAAAAGTGGAAAGTCAATGTATGCTTCATGTGAAATGCCTTTAAAAATTCTTTAGTAAAATGTCCTCCTTATCTCATTTATATATTTATTCAAACAAAGAAGCAGTTGTCTATTTCTAACAAATTCCTGACAATGAACCTTATACATGATTATGTTGTCCAGTTAGAGAACATTCTTTCACTGCTTGTCTTATCCTTCCCAGTTTTATCTTAGTATTTGTGCCTTAGCTAACTTAGTGATTTATACATGCTAGACAATTACCATGCCATCGGAGTCTGCTTCCTATGACTTGAAAAGGACATTGAGCATGGGAACATATGCGTTATTCATCATGGGGCCATCACAACATATGTGGTTTAAATTCTTGTCCAAGGTTTTCCCAAAGACAGATGTGCCATCAACCTTGAAGAAAATTTTCATGGGGCAGGCTGTACTTGGTCCTATCATCAGATTTGGGTCATATAACGGGCATGCTCTGTGCTACATGTAACACACTAAATTGATGTCTCATTAATGCTTATTTCAAGTCAGCTGATGCAATTTTTCCTCCTCATTTTGTGGCATAACACTGTTGTAATTCTGATGTATAATTTTGTGCCAATTTCAGGTGAAAGTGGTTCTGAAATAGTTGCTAAGTTGAAGCGTGATCTGCTTCCCACACTTCTGGGCAGTGCTGTGTTTTGGCCTGTCTGTGATTTTGTGACATTCAAATTCGTTCAAGTTCAGTTACAGGTTTGTATATTATAAACTAACGCTCCTCTCTGTTCATAATTTTTGTTCTGTTTCGACTTTCAATTTGATGTTAATGAATGAACTCTTCTAGCTGCTCAGCTTTATCTTCGTTTTGCGAATGGTGCAGCCATTGATGAACAGATCCTGCGCCTGTGTGTGGACTATTTATTTAACATACATGGCAAACTGATGAACGGATGAAGTGCCAGTTTGGTCAGGGCTAGGATTTTCATGTTTTCCTTTGTGCAGCATTTCCTCTCAATGGCAACAGGTCCATGTAGTGGTCAATTATTGATTTTGAAAGATTCAGTTTTGATGAGAGCGCTCAAAAGTTTTTAATTTCTTGGGTTCTCCTCTAGTGACATGTTCGTTTGGGTTTCAAAGAGAACAAAATTGGGGGCCAAAAAAAGAAACGCAAAATAAAGAAGGAAAACTGCAATTTAGACTAAAACAATTTTGATCTCCATTGTCTAAATTCAACACACGATCACTTTATCAGTCTTTTCAATTGAGACGACTCATGATCTCTAATATCCTAAAGCACATTCTCTTCTAAAGTTGTAGCTTTATTTTCTGATGATGTTCTTAAGTAAATAGTAGGGATGTTCATCTAGCATGCCTTCCATGTTATTTTCTGGCCAAATTTAACCAAATTGAGTCAAAGGCTAAAAGGGGAAGGTTGATTGGGTTGAGTTGCACAGTCCAATCGGTTGATCTATATGTTTGATCTGATACGTGACATCGATCTATATGTTTGTTTTCTGCCGTAAATGATTTGAAAGGGTTTGTTCTTACTTCTTACTAGGCTCAAAATTACTCTTGTACGTGTGAACATTGTTCAGCTTTGTCCTGAAACAATCGAAGGTGGTGTTTGTGGATCAAAGTTTCTTCGCATCAAAACAAGTGAACTTTGAATGAGAATTATAGACATCATGATGGTCAAATCAAATCCAATTGATTTTTTTCTCCTCATTTGTTTCCATCTTTTGTCGCCCCCCGGCGCCCCCTTTCCTATTTTCTCCCTGAATTCGAGGGGTGTTGACGACCTAAAATTATAAGTGACGTCAAATTCGCAATCTCCCTTACAAGAGAATCTTTATGTCACTGGGCTATAAAACTTTTAGTATCTCTCATTCTCTTTACTGCAATAAGATTGTATTGGCATAGGAGATGGAAGAAAATATTTATACATTAAAATTTTTTTCCTAAGAATAACAATGTCGAACAATGACTCTATTTAAAAGCAACCTTGCAAGGAAACCATACATGACAATTCACACTTATTAATACATTTCTGCTGTCAAAGTGCGAACAAATTGATAAATTAATAACGAATAAAAAAGAAACTACAAGAATTTATGCGACAAATTTACTTGGATTTTGTCCATTAAAATTAAAATCAACATTTGGGCATGTCGGTTGGTGGTGCCATGCTAGCGTCTGTTGATCAGGATTATTACCATTCTTCATAAATAAAAAAAATATCTTGAAAAATACGTTGCATTTTTCTTATGTATTTATTGTCTCTAATCAATTTAACTAACATTTTTATTTATATAATTTGATTATTTGTATTTTATAAATAAAAGCTGAGGAAATGCATCAGAGAATAAAAATGAACGCAAACAATAAAAATCTAAAGATCTAAATTTATTTGAAAATTTGGTCAAACATTTAAAAGGGTTTATTAATTATTAACTATGTGTCATACCATAATTACTCAATTCCTTGTACATTGTTGCCGTCTATTCACACTCAACATAAGGAAAGGAAAATTAAATACATATACAGTACATAATTAGATACATTGTATAAATAAAAATTTAAACTAGTTACTCTTCTTCCCCTAATTTACAATTACCCTTAATGGGCAAAACATTTCATAGAAAAATCAAGAGACCTGTCTGTTTTTTTTTTTTTTAGTCTTATCTTTTAACCTATAGGGTTTATTTGAACTTGATGGTTAGGATTTATCTATAACTATTTACCCACTACTCTTAGCATTTAGTTTAAACCTCCTTCATTCCTCTCTAGCCCTAGCCACCTCATCCCTTCCTCCTCTCTTGACACTGAAAATTCTCTCTTTGCTTTCTCTCTCTCTCTCTCATGCCGCACGCTCACAATTGTTATAGGGTTTTATTTCCAAGTCATTTACGAGATGTTTTAGAGAGAACACAGTACTGAATCAATTATCTATATATGTTGCAAATGATCAAGTCTCCGTTTCTCTCTCTCCTTCCGTGAGAGCAATTTTTCCTTTGCTTGTGTTTGTGGCTTGTGGCTTTTGAGGGTTCTTGTGTGTGGACAGTGATGGTGGTGGAGAATCCATCATCTAATAGACTAATTGATGGTGAATCGTTCGGATCTAGATTTATGATGAAGGTACTTTTGAATCAAAGTCATCAGCTATTTCAATTTTATTTTGATTTGGTATGAAAGGCTTTGTGGTTGGTAAACTGGGAGGTAGTGGTTTAAGTCTTTATAGTGGTGATGGTTAGGATCTAGGAGCTTCCTTGTTCATGTTGTGGTGGTGTCATTTCGACCTTTTCCTTAAGTTTTTTTTTTTGGGGCCCCATTTTGATTTTGGCGTCCTTTTTTTTGTGTGTAACCAAATACAAATATTTAGATTCAAAATAAACAAACACTATTATGAACTCATGGTATTGACTGAATAATACAAAACTATTATTGAAGGAAAGGTGACAAACTCAATTATTTTTATATATTTTGGTATCTTTTATATGAGTTTTGTCAACTTAATTGGTCCCTTTTTGCCTTAATTGATTTAATTTATTTTATTTTGAATTATTATTTTATAGGGGTAAAATTGTCATATTTTGGTTTAATTGTGAGTAATTGGTTTTTTGAGGATAATTAATGCTACCTTATTTTTGAATTTTATTTGCAGGTTTTTGGAAGAATTAAAAATAAAAAGAAAAAAAGAAAAAAAAAAAAAAATTAAAAAAAGGAAAAAAAATATAACAATAATAAAAGGGGAGAGCAAAACGCAACGTTTTGCCCTCCCCCAACCTAATATTCAATAATCACTCACGCACAAGGGACCGGGGGAGAGAGACGCAAGCGGCGTTGAAATAAGGAGATGAGCGCTGGTTGAAAACGGGGGCAACGCACGCACGCAGAGACGTGCGCACGGTCTGGCGGCGGAGGAAAAAGAAAGAGAAAAAGAAACGCAGAGAGAGAGACGAGCTGAGAGGCGTGAACAAGGACCGGAGGCAAACCATAACAGAACATTAATTACAGCAATTCTCATGGCAAACCATGGCTGACTTCCAATTCTCTAGAGCAATGGTTATGGCTTGAACTTAGAGCTTCAAAGGGGAGTTTCAACTCTTCTAATCTTTACTTCTTTCATTATAATTGTGATTTCTAGGTCTTAGAATGAATTTTATAATGTTTGAATGGGTTGTGATTATTTATATTTGTATTGAGATTGGTTATAGTTGTTGGAATCTTTGATTAGCATTTAACATTATGCTGTGATTAGCTTTAATTTCTTTACATTGTACTGGGTCAGATTATGTTTTGAAATTATTGTGAACATTTAGTGGTAATTCAAGGTGGCTTGGTTATTGGACTAAAAATGTTAATTGCTTTTCTTTGATTTTCTTTTGGCTAATTGTGCTGAAACAGTTTAATTGTGAATAATTAATATGCAAGGTGGCTTGGTGTTGATTATTCTAATTAAACCGAGTCTAGGGGGTGGCCCTTAGAGTCTTTTGAATTTAGCTAACTCCCAAATTAATTGAAGTAATGATAGCCTTAATCATTGTGCTAGATGATTGCTTTTCTATTTGCTATCACTTGTTAATTCTCTTTGTTTATTTTATTCATATCCGTTTTATAAACTAAAAATTCAAAAATTATTTACTCATTTTGCATCCTTTTAAATTTTGCTAATTAGTTAGTTGAAAAGAAAATCAATCCCTTTCCAACTCAATTTTTTTTGTTTTTGATACTTAGTTGCTTAGGATTTCAAATAAAGGCTCCTCAAAGTGAAATTAAACGACTCGAGTTTTGCACTATACTGCATTGCTTGGATTTATTTTTGATTGGGAACCCCAAGGCGAACGACAAAGGCTCTCATCAAAAGGCCCAGAGGACCAGTACATTGTGTTTGTAGAGAGTGACAGCACCTCTACTTATACAAACTTTCTGGACCGAGGCCCAATACAAGAAAGGATGAGTCTTATACAACAGAATAACTAACCCAAATATTAAACAGAATAATAAATCTTCTTAACACTCCCCCTCAAGTTTGGGGGCATACAAGTTCATGGTCCCTAACTTGCTCATAATCCTTTGATGATCTTCCTTCCCCAGCCCTTTTGTAAATATATCAGCTTGCTGCTCTTTGCTTCTCACATGTTGTAGATTTATGACACCTTGCTGCAACTTTTCTCTTACAAAATGACAATCGATTTCTATATGTTTAGTTCTCTTGTGAAAAACTGGATTATTTGCCATATGAATAGCTGACTTGCTATCACAAAATACTTGAACAGGTTCTAATTCATTTATATTCAAATCTTTCAGTAATCTAGTAATCCAGACTACTTCAGAAACAGCACTACCCAGTGCCCTATACTCTGCCTCAGCTGAAGACTTGGAAACTGTATTTTGCTTCTTTGATTTCTAGGATACTGGTGATCCTCCAAATTTTACAACATAGCCAGTTACAGATCTTCTTGTGTCTGGACATGTTCCCCAATCTGAATCCACATAACATTCTAACTGAGAGTTCTTTGATGCAGTGAGCAAGATCCCAAGTCCTAGTGTTCCTTTGAGATATCTCACTACTTGCATTGCTGCTTTCATATGTGATCTTCTTGGGTTATTCATAAACTGACTCAACCCCTGCATGGCAAAGCTTATATCAGGTCTAGTAATTGTTAAATATGACAACTTACCTATTAAGCGCCTATGGGCAGTCGATTCAGGCAGCAGTGGATCATCTTTCTCATTCTTTGGACTGCCACTCAATCTTGTGCTCCTCTCGATTGGAACACTAAGAGGCTTTGCTGCTGTCAAACCCATGTCAGATAAGATATCCAAGGTATATTTTCACTGATTAAGAATCAGACCCTGTTTGGACCTTGCTACCTCAATCCCCAAAAAATATCTAAGCTGTCCCAAATCTTTGATCTTAAACTTGTTGTGTAGAAACCTCTTAACCTCATTGATTCTCTCAGGTTTGTTCCCAGTTATTCCTAGATCATCTACATAAACTAATATCAAGGTAATTTCAGAATCAGTTTGCTTTATGAAAAGAGAATAATCATACATGCACTGCCTAAAACCTCCTTCTAAAAGAGCTTCAGTGAGCTTGGCATTCCATTGCCTTGATGCTTGTTTGAGACCATATAAGGATTTGGTTAATTTACATGCCTTATTTGGTTTTGTATTGCCAAATCCTTGTGGAATGTTCATGTATACTTCCTCTTTCAAGTCACCTTGAAGAAAGGCATTGTGTACATCCATTTGATATATGTCCCAATCATTCATTATTGCAATGTTAAGAATTACTCTAATTGTGACCATTTTACTGACAGGTGAAAAAGTTTCAAAATAATCCACCCCTTCTTGCTGACTATACCCTTTTGCAACTAATCTTGCCTTAAATCTATCCACATTACCATTAGCATTATATTTCACCTTATAGACCTATTTGCAACCTATGGGTCTTTTCCCTTTTGGCAAATCCACTAGTTCCCATGTACCATTATCTTGGAGGGCCTTTATTTCTGCCTTCATGGCATCAACCCATCTCTGGTCTTTAGCTGCCTCTTCATAATTATATGGCTCGACAATACTATCAATATTTGAAAGCACAGATTTATAATTAAGTGACAGATGTGAATAAGAGAGAAAAGATTGCATAGGGTCTTTTACCTGTCTTTTACCTTTGAGATCTAAATCTGGCTGATCAACAATGCATGCATAACCTACCAAAGACTTGAAAGAAGTGTCAGCAGTACAAGCATAATCTTTCATCCATGTTGGGGGTTTCCTTTCACGAATAGGTCTGGCTATACGTTGATTATTTTCAGCATGAATTTCATTACCATTTTGTTCTACTGAATTCTGGTCTGTATTTATATCATCTTGCCCAATTTGTATTGGAGGAAAGGATTTAGTCTCATACCTATGATAGTTATGTCTAAAAGGATCAATCATGATATTAGTGTCTCCCCCTTGATTGATACGTATGTTATCTTTAAAGGGAAATTTTGTTTCATCAAAGATCACATGTCTACTAATGAGTATATTTCTACTCTGAATATTGTACAGAATGTAACCTTTTTGAGACCTTGGATAACCAAGAAAAACACAAGGGTAGGATCTATGTTGAAACTTATCTTGTGCTTATAAGTTAGTGGCAAAGGCTAAACATCCAAAAAGTTTCAAGGAGGACAGATCTGGTTGGTGCCCATAAATCATTTTGAAGGGTGTTTTATATCCTAAAACAGTAGAAGGAGTTCTATTGATAAGGTAAGTGGCAGTTTTTATAGCTTCCCCCCAGAATTTTAAAGGTGTAGCAGATTGAAAGCACAAACTCCTAGCCACATTTAAAAGATGCCTATGCTTACGTTCTACTACCCCATTTTGTTGAGGTGTACAAGGACAAGTAGTCTCATGAATAATCCCTTTACTAGTTAAATGTAATTTTAATTCAGAATTAAGAAACTCCAGGCCATTGTCAGTACGTATTCGTCTCACAACAGTAGAAAATTGAGTATCAACGTAGGCAATGAAACTCTTCAAGTGAAAAACAGATTCATTTTTATTAAGCATGAGAAATGTCCAAGTACATCTGGAAAAATCATCAACAATTGTAAGAAAATACCGATGTCCCTTATAAGTCGGTTCTCTATAAGGCCCCCAGACATCCACATGTATCAAATCAAAGCAATGAGAAGTTTTAGACTCACTAGATGAAAATGGTAGTCGACGTTGTTTGGCTTGAGCACAGATGACACATTTATCATTGATGATTACAGGAACTTCTTTTCTTACCATATATAAATGTCTAAGTTTATCTATGGGGGCATGTCCTAATCTAAGGTGCCAAAGGTTTTGAGTGGTGATATTCATGACTGTATCGGTTTGTGGGATTCTTTCAATGATATAGAGTCCACTAAGGAGCCTACCAATCTTCCTTGTCTTTCCAAGAGAGATTTCCTGCAAGGTACAGTAATTAGAGTAAAAGGAGACTACAAAATCTTGATTGGCAGTTAACTTGGAAACAGAAACTAAATTGTAACAACAACCAGAGGCATAATAGACGTCCTGTAAAATGATATGATCTAGTAATTTTACAGTCCCTACATGGGTGATAAGCATTTTACTACCATTAGGAACCATAATGAGCCTAACTAGTCCTTCATATTTTTCCACAGTGTCAAACATATCTATACTATTTACTAAATGACATGTAGCACCTGAATCTAAAATCCAATGTGAATCACAAAAAGATCTAGGAAGGGCAAGAACAGCACCTGAAATGGTTTCCTCAATGTGATCGATTGTAATTACAGCAATGTCTCCTTTCTCCCTTTGGAGAAGCTTGAGGATTTGATCATATTGCTGCTGAGTGATAGGCGTTTGAGCAGGGGATAAGGAAGTAGTTGATGTGTGATCAGCAGTGGAAGCTTGAGCTTGTCTGTTACGAAAATTTGGAGGAAAACCCACAATGTGATAGCAGTTTTCTCATTTATGTCCCTTACGATGGTAGTGGGAGCATTCCTCTTGTGATCTGCCTCGCCCTCTTCTGCGTCCTTGACGTCCTCCCCTTGTAGCCATAGTAGCACCCTCGGTTGGATGACTTGGAGGTGGGTAGGAAATTAGTTGCTGGGACTCATCTTGGCAGATTAAAGAGTACGCCTGATTAACAGTTGGGAGAGGTGACTGCAAAAGTATTTGAGTCTTCGCTTGATGGTAGTTGTCATTTAGCCTAGATAGAAATTGTAATAGCCTTTCTTGCTGTACCAATTTAGCATACTCTTGTGTAGTTGGGCACTGACAAGTTGGAATTGGTGTAAGGGAATCATATTCGTCCCATAAGTCCCAAAGCTTGGTATAATATTCAGCAACAGTCATCGTTCCTTGCCTCAATGAAGTAATCGCCTTATGAATGGTAAATATTCTGACTCCATCAGCCTTGTGAAACCTTTCTTTCAGGTCCAGCCACACTGAACGGGCATTGGAGGAGAAGACAATTCTAGTGGCAAGTTGTTTATCAACAGAGTTAACAAGCCAAGAAAGTACAATCGCGTTACAGGGATCCCATAATCCCCGAAGACTCTCCTCTTGTTTCTCCCGAAGGCAACTTCCATCAATAAATCCCAATTTGTTTCTGGCAAAGAGAGCTAGGCACATGGATCGACTCCACATGGCGTAATTTTCAGACCCACACAATACTTGTGAAACCAGCGTCACAGCCTGAGTATCAGATGGATGGAGATACAAGGGATGACTAAAATCGATGGTTGAGGGAGAGAGAGGGATGGTTTCATTGTCTTTTCCCATGGAATTGCAAATCTTGACAGGACAGAGGTAGAGAACTGCGAAAGAAAGCTGGAGGAAATTTCGACCAAACACTTACAGGAAAAAAATAACCGAATCTTGAGGCGTTCTTGTGAGGACGTCTACGGGAAAGTAACAGCGATGACGAAATGAAGAAAGAATGACGGTGCGGAACTCCTTTCTCAGCCGTGAGTCATGGTTCTGGTAGGGTTCATGTAGAGAACGCTTCGTTTGGACTTGCAGAAGCTATTCTTCAGTTTCTCAGAAGAACGACACCGTTCTTTGACTGAGTTCTTCCCTGTCTGTGCGCAGGTAGTAGGATTGGGCTTATGTTGGTGTGGCCCAGACGACCTTGCTCTAGATACCATATGAACTCATGGTATTGACTGAATAATAAAAAACTATTATTGAAGGAAAGGCCCAGAGGACCAGTACATTGTGTTTGTAGAGAGTGACAGCACCTCTACTTATACAGACTTTCTGGACTGAGGCCCAATACAAGAAAGGATGAGTCTTATACAACAGAATAACTAACCCAAATATTAAACAGAATAATAAATCTTCTTAACAACTATACCTAAGAAAAATCAATTTATTGTGTTAGTATTTGATTTCTTTTGTGTAGATAATCATCAAACCAGAGAAAGTTTATGACAACAATGAAGACAAAGAGGATGGATGTATCATCGAATCTTATAGCATGTTGATTTTTGCCTATCAGATCAACGATATACCAAAAGGTATATTAATAAATTTATGAGTATTTTGGCTGACATGCTTTAGCAAGAAACTTGGGCATTTCCTCCTATTTGGTTCTTTAATAAAAGTATCAACAAACGGATATTTTTCTGTTTTTACATCTAAATACCGTAAGTATTTCTTCATTTGTTCAACTTTAGTTCTTATCCTTTCAGTTGGTTCATTTGTTAATTTAATATGATTATTTCATTGGCCATGACACCAAATAAAAGTAGACATTATTGCAAGAGTGTCTGGATTAAAAATAACGTTAAAAGACTATGGATTTAGCACAAATATTTTGAATCGAAAGCTTAATTTGTAGATACCTAGAGGAAGTTTGTCAAGCTACTATCCCATTTCAGTAATCATCTCAACATAGTTAGTACCCAATTTATACATTTTCTAAAATAAATATTTTAAGAGTTTTTAGGAGAATTAAACTGATTTACAAGAAACAGGTTAGGTGGAAATTTTGGAAAGCAATGAAGCTATGAAATCTCTGAATTGAATTTACTTTTTTTTTTTACAGCAAAAGAGTTTTTCTAGTGGGTGATTCACCTTCACAAAGTAGTCATGGAGTTGGAATCGCACAACGGAGGTTTCACTTTGAGGTTCCCTAATTAGGGATCTCTAACTAGAAGAAAATATGACTGTGTGGGATAAAAGATGACACATAGAGATGTGTGCGCTTAGAGAAGGTGGTTGAAGAGCTGAGGACAATAACGGAGGAAGTACAAATCAGGAATAGGATGTTTGCCAATCAAATCAACGATAGACCGAATGCACATATACTGGTAAGTATACTTTTTAATTGTACATTCATTTTGATATATTTTTGCACTTACATTGTAAAATAAACCCATACATTCTCTAAATTAATTAAACTTAAATAGTTGGTAATTCAATTTGAGCTACAAATTATATATTATATTAAGGAGCGGAGGTACTATATAATACTTTTGAAATTATGTTGGTGCAGTTTATAGATAGGTCACCAGTGATATTTAACACTCATCATACAATTTTTTTCTACATCTCCAACTTTGGACATGATCCTTTCAATCAATTCTTCACGTGTTAGCCCAAAATAAAAAAAAAAGTGCTTCATTTGTTAATTGATCATGGTTATTTAATTCTTCACGTCTATAAGATAACTTTTGAATATCGCATCTTAGCTTATAGCAAGTGCGTACGACAGAATAATTTTTATTAAAATTTAGACAAACTTATAAAGGCTAATGCGCGTGATTAAAGGTCAATCAAAAGCAAAGATTTTGATGTGCATCCGTGAGGTTAAGAATTCAAACCATAGTTTTAGCATAAACCAGAACATTCCGTCACTAATCACTGGTGAAATTTTTTCTTAACTAAACTAATTAGTAATAAAAATTTCATCCCTAATTTGTTGTTTGCTCATGATGAAATGGTTTCGTAGGAATAGTTTCAAAGTACAGTGAATGCTTTTTTGTCCTTAAGTATGTACGCTGACTTGTTGAGATATAGAAGTAAAACAACGCAACGAGACAGCAATATAATAAGAAATGTGAAAAGATATTTATTGTTCATATATTTGGTGTTTTCTTTTACATGTTACAATTTTTGAAATAATTCAGGTCCTTCTATAGGCTATAGAGATGTCTGAACATCCGATATATATTTTTAAATTTTTATCCCAATTAATACCATGTCTTCTCTCTTGTCTCTTCTTATAATTATTCTCTTTCATCTCTTTTCCAGTTTTCATACTCATTTTATCTCACTCACCCTCTCCATAAATAAACTTATTTTTTGAAAAATAAGTTATATTTTTTTTTTACGTATTTATTGTCTTTAACCAATTTTAACTAACATTTTTATTTATATAATTTGATTATTTGTATCTTATAAAAAGAAATCGACGGAATGCATAAGAGAATGAAAATCAATATAAACATTAGAAACCTAAAGATCTAAATTATTTAAAAATTTTGTCAAACATTTAAAAGGGTTTCTTGACTGTTAGCAAAAGAAAAAAAAGAAGGGTTTCTTGACTGTATGTCATACCATAATTACTCAATTCCTTGTACATTGGCATCCATTAATTCACACTCATCATAAAGAAAGGAAAATTAGATACATAGTATGTAATAAGATACATTGTATAAATGAAAATTTAAATCAGGTACTCTTCTCTAATTAAAAATTATCCTCAATGAGCAAAACATTCCATAGAAAAATCAAGAGAACTTTTCTTTTTAGTGTCATACTTTAACCTCTATAACTATTTTAAACCTTTTTAAATCCTCTCTAGGCCTAGCCGCCTCATCCCTCTTCCTCCTCTCTTAACCCTAAAAACTACTCTCTCTATCTCTCTCACACACCGCACCCTCACAATTGTTGTAGGGTTTGATTTACAAGTCATTGACAAGATATTTTAGAGAGAAGAGAGTACTGAATTGTTACAAACGATCGAGTCTTGCTCCTTTCTCTCCTTTAGTGAGAGCAATTGTTCCTTTGCTTAGGTTTGTGGCTGAGGGGTTTCAAGGATTGTGTGTGTGTGTGTGGTGGATGGTGATGTCGGTGGAGGATCCGTATAGACTAATTAGAATTATGATGAAGGTACTTTTAAATCAAAATCATCAACTATTTCAATTTATTTAGATCTCGCATGAAATGCTCTGTGGTTGATGAACTGGAAGGTAGTGGTTAAGTCTCTATGGTGGTGATGGCTAGGATCTAGAAGCTTCCTTGTTCATATTATGGCAGTGTCATTTCAATCCCTTTTCCTTAATTTTTTTTGTGTGTGGTTCTATTTGGTTTTTTGGCATCCTTTTGTTGTTTTTGATAATTTTAGGTATGGTTTTTGTCTAGTTTGGATCTAAGTCTTTGTATTTGTTGTATGTTTTCTCTTGTTTTTCTATTTGGTTTGGATTAAAAAAAAATCAATTTATCGTGTTGTTATTTGCTTTCTTTTGTGTAGTTAACTATCAAGTCAAACAAAGCTTATGACAATGATGAAGAGGCAAAGGGTAGAAGTATCATTGAATATTATTGCGTGTTGAATTTTGCCTATCAGATCAACGATACACCAAAGGTATGTTGATAAATGACTATATTGGCTGATATATGCTTTAGCAAGAAACTTAGGTATTTTTCCCTATCTGATTCTCTAATAAAAGTAGCAACAAATGGATTTATTTTTTGTTTTTACATCTAAATACTATAGCTATTTCTTCATCTGTTCAATTTTGGTTCTTATCCTTTCAGTTATTTCATTTGTTAATCAAATATGGTGATTTCATTGGCCATGAGATCAACTGAAATAATGTTGTCATTATTGCTACAGTGGTTGATAATAATGGTAAAAATTATTGATTTAGCGTAAATATAAATTTTGAATGGAAAGCTTAATTTGTGGATATCTAGAGGAATTTTGTCAAGCTGCTATCCTATTTCAGTAATCATGCGAACATAATTGGTACCCAATTTATACATTTTCTAAGATAAATTGGGTTTTTTTTTTTAAAAAAAGAGTTGTGGAGGGAATTAATCTAATTTACAAGAAACATGTTTGGCGGAAACTTTCGTAAGCAGCGAAACTATGAAATCTCTTAATTGAATTTGCTTCTCTCTTTTTTCTTTTGTTTTTTGTTTTTTTTTTTTACAGAAAAACAGTTCGTCTAGTGAGTCATTCAGCTTTACAAAGCAGTCATGGAGCTGGAATCACATAAGGCTATACTTCAGGGTTCCCTTAAGAGGGATCCCTGACTAGAAGAAAAGATGACAAGGCGTGGGAGAAAAGACGATAAATAGGGACATATACGCTTAGAAAAGGTTGCTGGAGAGCTGGGGACAACAACGAAGCAAGTACAAATTAGGGATGGGATGGTTCTTGATCAAATCAACGATATACCAAAAGCATGCATACTGATAAGTATACTTTTTAAATGTACATTCATTTGATATACTTTTTACTTGCATTGTAACACAAACCCATGCATCCTCTAAATGATTAAACTTGAGTAGTTTTAATTCAATTTGAACCACAAACTAGATCTTATATATATTAAGAACCGGATAACTATACTGTTGGTGTAGTTTGTAGATAGATCACCGGTGATATTTAACACTGATCATACAATATGTTGTGCATGTCCAACTTTGAACTTCATCCTTTCAATCAATTCTTCACTTGCTAGCCGAAATAAAAAAGTCTTCATTTGTTATTTGATTATGGTTACTTAAAATTATGTTCAAACGGAGGCCATGAGATTAGATTGAATAATAATGTAGCTAGTTATTGCGGCAGTAGTGATTTATTAACCATAAAGAATGGTTAAAACTAACGATTTAGTTTTATTTTGAATTGAAATATCAATGGACATCTCTCCGAAATCCTAAAGCTACTAAACTACTTCAATAATATAGTATGTTTAGTACGAGCAAAATGGGGAGGAGAAAAAATTTCAATGAATTCAATTTGAAAAATTAAAAAAAATGGGGTAATAAAATTTTAATAAAAAGAAGATGTAAGCTAAAATGGGTGGAAAAATTAATTACAAGCTTTTAATATCTTTTCTTTAATTTTTTAAATCGAACACTTTGAAATTAAGAGCACATTCCATGCTCATCACCATGATTAGCATGAAGTGCTTATCTTAATTTGGATCATTCAGATCAATTTTGAATGGTGCATATTGAATATAATTTTTTCATACATTTTAATTAATTTTTTTTTTTAATAGATACATAATTCAAAATAAGATAGTCGTTGCTAACATTTTCAAAAAACAAATTATTATTCAAAAAATTGTATACTAAAAATTTTAAATGTGAACCATTCACATTAAATTCTGAATAGTCTAGATACAATTATAATAATAAGCACATAGTATTCATCGTTGTAATAAGCATTGAATGAGGATCCATTAAAATTTTCCTATTTCCTTTCCATTTCCCCATACTAAATAGACTTATATGTTACTCCAACAATTAGTGCATAATTTGTAATTTCCGCTGAAATATGGTGGGCTTTATATTGATGCGTAGATTATAAAAACATAACAAATGGACAATGACTCATTGTGTGAATTAAACAACAATATATTCTTCAATCTACTGAATTTAACATTCCTCCAAAATAACAAATGAACAATGCGTCATTATGACAGTAATATATGGTGGAACTACGTGTCACCTGTCAAAATAATACAAAATTTTAAGGTTGAATTAACTTGTTTCATCAGAATGATAGAAAGAATTAAAGTAAGTTGTTGGTTACAAATTAATGCACTTATGATGATCACATGTTACAGCTTTAGTTTTTTTGGGTGAATTACAAGTTACATATGGCCTCTATCTCATCAACTGCTAGCTTTTTAAGGAATAGTACTGAAATTCATTAAAAAAAAAAGACTAGCTGTTATTTAAATAGGATGACTAACGGAGGAGAAATTTTGCAGTATGGTAAAAAAATCATTAATTTATTGACCTTCATTCCACTGACAAATTCAACATAACAATATCGAACAATGACTTTATTTGAAAGCAATATTCTTACAAACGGAACGAAACATGACTCTACGAATTTCACGCACTCATTAATACATTTCTGCTGTCAAACTACCCTTGATCTCGAGGAACAAATTGAATTAATCAATGAATAACGAATAAAAGGAAATACAAGAATTAATGTGTTAGACAAATTTCTTCCATGGACTTTTTCCGTTAAAATTAAAATCAACACTTGGGCATGTCGGTAGGTGGTGGTAGCATGTGTTGGTCCGGATTGTTACCATTCTTCACAATAAAAGTCATGGCCATTCCCCATGTCACGTGACGCTCCAAATGACAATGCATGAACCAAACACCTACGTATCCAACCCAAATAGGATTAGTCTATAAGATCTATAACATATATTAATCTTTAAGATTTGAAATATTGCTTGTGAGGGAGTAAATGTAAAATATATACCTGGATTGTCGGCAGTGAATCTTATGGCGACCCAACCATTTTTGGGTACGGTCACAGTGTTTTGATAGGGAGGATCAACAAGGTTGTAATTCAAAGGATCCTTTTGCTCGTCAAAGTTTCCGAATCCCCAGCCTACGACATAGAAACTATATCCATGCAAGTGAATAGGATGTTCTGTTCCAGTAAGCACATTAGTTCCCTGAAGAACAAGCTCCACCGTGGATCCGTACTCAAGCACCTTCACCTCTGTGCCCACGGATGGAGTCAACAAGAACTGAGGCAAATCATTTCCTGTAAAATCAAAGTTCAATGGCGGCATATCTGGGAAGTTGTCTCCAAAACACACCACTAACGTTGTTATAATAAGCCTGCAAGATGTTAGCCCCAGGGGGCAATTGGAAGCTTATATTGTTCATACTAGCAGCAAGACGATCACCACTTGGGCCAGCACATTTTGAACCATTCTGACACGGTAATGTGTTCACAGACACTGTGTAGAAAAGCTTGGTGCTTACTTCTAATGGCACGTCAATGGGGTGGTTCTTGTCTGCTAAGCTTTTGAATTGGCTCAGTTGCGCGGTGGTTGCGATGGTGTCGTCGTTTGAGTTTGGAAGCAAAGGCATGGAAGGGACTGTTGAAGTTGGCATATTGTGTCTGGTTCGTTTGTATTGAAGGATGGCAGTGGTGTTTGAAGGGCTAAAAAGGACATTAGGAGAACTGGAATATGCTTTGGCAGCCATGTAATAGCGATCTATTGGCTGGTTTGCTTCTAATAGAACATCCATAGTCTGACCAGGTGAGATTGTGATGTAATCTACTTTCACAGGCTTTATGTAGCTTCCATCTGTTCCCACCACTGTCAGTTTATGATTGGCAATTCCAAAGAAGAGAACTTGTTCCAGTGCTGCATTGATCACTCGAAGCAGATAGGTCTTGCCATGTCCGAACATTCAGCTTGAAGTTTCTGCCATGATTACAAATACCC